ATATATATATATATATACATATATACATATACATATATACATACATACATATACACACACACACACACACATACATACATAAATATATATAATGATATCTACCCTGATCACAGTGGACTCCGTATTTCCCGCTCTGGCAGGTCTCACAGGCGGTCCCGTTGAAACCTCTTTCACACCGACAGACTCCGGTCCCGTTGGTCCCGTCCGAACACGCTCCGTTACCGAAGCAAGGCCGACCCTTCGGCCCGGGACACGGCTCACAGTGCTCCCCGAAGAACTCTCCACAGCACCTCCGCACCTGGACACAGAGGACAGCTGTTCAATGTCTTATTGTCTTATTGTCTTTGTGCTTTACTTTTCTGTCTGACAGCAGGACGGACGTACGATGTTCTTCTGGAGGCATGAGGCTCTGCAGCCGATGGTCAGCAGACGATCTCCTTCAAACATGCGAGTTAACATACACTTCTTCTTCCTCGTGGATTTCTGCAGACAACATGGAAATCATCAGAAGTTTAGTATCACATGCACCTAGTTTGGGTTTAATTTGTGTTTTATCTGTTTCTTAAAATGCTGAATTATTGTACAGTTATATATAGTGTTCATCTGTAAAGAGATTAAAACATCATAAATATTATATTATAGATATTGTAGAGAAAACAACAACCATGTATTTTACCTTTGGGGTGATTACTTGAATTTCACTTAAATATAAAATCAAGTCATCTGCAAAGAAACTGAGTTTTTTTTAAACTTTTCTTTGCTTCTGTCCGAGCAAAAGATTTAAATGCTGATGCAACTAACAAATGATAATAATAATAATAATCATAAAAATGACCTGTCATAATGCCTCCTGTTATGTAGGACATTTGAGGTATTTTTCTTTGGAAAGAATTCAACTACTGCTAAAACATTTATGATTAACTTCTTACAATAGTTTGTGGGACTGTTCTGTTTTCACAGTCCAATACATGATCAATTATTCATATTATATTATGATGTATATGATTACAGTCAGGAATCTTACGTCTGGGACGGTGTTATTCGGGCAGATTCTGCTTTGTGGGAACAAACAGTCCAGACAGCTTCCCTTTGACAATAAAGAGTTTTCATTCATCAGTTTGAGTCAAATACTGTTCATTCATTTATCTAAATATCAACTTCACAACTGATCCTGTATGTCAGACTTTATTATGATATATAAACGTGTGCTAATACTGCAGTGTGTGATGTACAAACGTGTATCTGTACCATGACT